TGCATGCAAGTCACTACTTTTAGTATTAACACTAAACAGATATTTTTGAATAGGTAAGACGTGTTCTGTGTGTGTCTTAACTTCTTAAGATTTAGTTTATTCAATTAAATTTTTAAAGTAAATATAAATAATAAATAATATAAATATGACGTTATGTACGCGATCTAAACGGCTATTGGCATTGTTATTATTAATAAGAAGAAAGAAAAAATATACATTAAAGAAAACTAGACTTTGGGTACATTCTATGAATCGAACACGATCAGAAAACGGAGAATTCAAAAAATTATGTGTTGAACTTGAATTATATCCAGATCGATATTTCAATACCTTCAGAATGAACAAAGATCAATTCGATATATTATACACACTTTTAAAAAACTCGCTTTCTAAAAATGATACAAATTTTAGAAAAAGTATACCCGCTAAAGAGCGACTTGTAGTCACATTAAGGTAAGATACGTATTTATTATTTTATTTTTAATTTATTATACATTAGTTGTAGGTATATAGGTATATTATTTTCTTATTCGGCATAAATCGTCCATGGTCATTAGTTATTATTATTTTTATATATAAAAAAAATTAAATAATGATTAATATTAAATATAATTATATAAACATAAAAATTTATTAGAATTAATAGAAGTGTACCCATTAATTTTGCGAAGAATAATGATTATACTCATGAAACCCATTGTCCGCGACCGACATATTACTTTGAGAATAATCCATTGCTGATGATTTTGCTGTGTTAAGAGGAGTTAAAATCGGTGCATAAACAGACGAGTAGGTGGAATGCCCTGAGTTGCTTGAAAAAGGCGAATTTGAATAATTATTTCCAAACTCAACATCAAACAAAACTTGTTGAATTTTTATTTTTGCAATAGCATTTTGTTTTGGTGTCATACGTTTTAATGTCGGAAGATAACTTAATAGAAATTGTTCATCTGCATCATGTTCTTTGGAAATAATATTCAAAATTTGTTCATCAATATTATCTTCTGGTGCTTCATTTTTACGCTTTTTAGTAGCTGAAGAACATTTATTTATACGTAATTTAATGTTATGTTCAATTTGTTCATTGCAACGTTCTGGAGTTGTTGACACTTCATTAATAATATCTGATTCTCTTTCCGGACTGTTAATTCTTTGTTGATTACAGATTTCAGAACTTGAATAATTCCCAATAGTCCTATAACATATTAAAAATAACGAAGTTATTGATTATTTAAAATAATTTTGGTTGTTACGCAAAATAATTTAAAAATTTTAATTTAAAAAAAAAATTATAAACTTACTCTCTAAACTCTATATATGGCAGAGCTTGCGCTAATGGGTAGTTCTAACCAATGTGGGTAGTTCTAAATTGAAATGGGCAACTCTAAAAACCAATTTGGTCAGTACCAAAAATCGTGAATTTTCTGTAYTATTGGAATATGTAATATTGTTTAATTTAAGTAGGTATGTATTTTATTTAATATTTTTTACACAAATGTTATCAATCCATTCCATAACATTTATTATCATATACACATAGAAGATTGTGTAATCTATATGATAACACGATGCAATACAGAAAGTGATAATAATGTGACCATTAAATTCGTCATGTTTTATGTTTATTTTACTAATTACTTAGACGAAGAAGTGACCAAGTGAAAGTGACGTGCGTAGCGAACATGGATTTAAAAAAGGTAAAACACTAATACAGTAATACTAACTTACTATATAGTATACCTACCTATTTAATTATTTAAATGGTACATACTAACATATTATAATTTATAAATATAAAGTAAACACATTTTTTTTTATTCTTATCCAGCAAATGTCACCATATTATTACTATTACAAGGATATAATTTGACATGTGGACCGTCACCAAAGGCTTCAATATTATTTATCATATTTAAATAATATTGAAGAATAAAGTACTTCCTACATTCAGTATGTACTATGGTATATATGTATCCATAGCACCCAATTTAAGCTTGCATTATCTTAGTTTGCTTATATAAGTTGATTAAATAGCTTAATTATTTATATAATTATTTCTTCTCTGCTTTTATTGTTAAATATTGGCATATTTTTTCGGTTCAAGTTTAAATGATGCTGTTTGCATGAATGGCTGTTATTAATATTAAGCGCACAATTTTATTTAAATGTTTTAATGTTTTATTATAAATTAATCAATATTTCAAAACTTGAATTTTAGAATAAAAAATTAGCCCCAAAAAGCAGTTCTGGTCTTATGAAAAAATKGCTTTATAAAAGTAAAAATACTGATCTTAACATAGGTATGTTAAATTAAAATGTTAAATAAATAATAGATTTTTACCTAATAATAGATAATTTAGTAGATAACTTAATTAACACCACAAGCGGCAATAGCACTTCAGTAAACAGCTTGGATAACACCATAAATACTGAGATTAG